GTTTCCAGCATCGCTTTTGTCAATTTATTYATCAATTTTATCTTTTGAAGCAGTTTTAATAGTAATGTATTTATACTATTGTTTAACAAATTGTGGTTTTGCACCATCTGTGCGGCTAACAATCGCAATGCTTGTCTTCTATCCATTTTTGTTTTATCAAATTGAAGTGTTATTAATATACCAATCAGCTGTTCGCTAACTCGCATTGCTGGTGTCTGTCACCTATAAATTTGGCTCTGATTAAGTGCGCAGTTAATCACGGTTAACGCTGTCGTCTGTCAATGCTATTACTTACTTACTAAAGTAAATAATTAAGGATTTTTACGAATTCCAGGTAAGTAAGCGCCATGAATGTATCCGTTTACTGATGCGTTTGATTGTTTCTTCACAGAATCATAGTAATAAATATAAAATAGCACTAAAAAAAGCCAGAATTGCTAAAAAAAAACAGCTCCAAATCAAAGAATATTAAGGAAAAAGGACAATCAAAACATACCTGATGAATTTGATACTGGCGTCCATGAACGCAGAAATGAATTACACTCGCAGTGGCATCAACGCTCTGGGATGGTGGACGTTACGTTTAAAACTAACAGAAACACCAACTTGCAATATTTGAAAAAATTCTGGTATGGTATTCCTCAAAACATGTAAAATTATTGTCAGTAATTGGCATCAATGACCCAATTTTATGGTATACTTGGACTTATATAATATTTTGAATGCAGTTTTAAAATCATGACCATTTGATGCGAAATTGCAAAGTTTAGTTGCCCCGAACGACGTCATTTGGAAGAAAGAATTAAATTTGCGTATTTTACGAAGAAATAATTTTGGATCACCTGAATCAACAGCAAGAAGGGATAATAAAGGTTCGAGCGGAGTAGGTAGAGGTGACAGCATAACTTTTCCTGATGCGCAGCACATACCGGGCAGTTGAATAAAAATAAAAATATTTGTACAATTATTAAAATATGACGCGAGCTTTAATAAATTTTGTATACCTTTATATAAAAATCGCGTTCATTTGTCAATTATGTGACAGTCACTATTATTTTCTTAGCTTCAAAAGATTCTAACAGATGGTGCTATGTTAAAAGTCTCTGGCAGCACTGCGCCGTGTTATGCGCCATCTACTCCAAATATCATGTAACCTTTTATAATTGAATTGTCATTTTGTAACATTTACTTCTTGTTTGATATTGAATAAAGCATCACGTGTAATGTGCTAAAATACAAACGTTTTATATAATCTACAATTTAACAGCATAATCACTAATTATTTTAATATTCAAATACAAAATAAATTCAGGTTATACTTTGGTTTCAGCAATACGTAGTTATTATTCCATTAAATTTGTGAGAAAAGCGTGGGGTGCTTTGTGACATATTTTTCATATATCGAGCATTCCACGCTATTTGCACAGTAATGCAGGAATTTTTCCTTCGTTATTATTATTCGTGGTGGCTGTGTTTTAAACCTAAATGCAGGCAGGGCATTTTGTCGAATGTGGAGTCGCATTGTGGCAGAGGTTTTGGGTAGGAATCGTACCCGACCAAGGCATTTATGCTTGACGGCGCTGATCACCGCATTATATTGATTTACGTGCTTCTAGAAATAGGCAGTACCGCGAGGTTAGGCCGCCGCCGGCAAGTACTCACATAAAACACAACGGACTCTGTCCCTATCTTCTCATTAATTTTTTACAAGCATTACAAATTCTAGTGTAGATATACTAGTGTAAAATAGTTAATCATAAAAAATTTTAAATGGGAATTCAAAAAACATTATCGACACCTAAACCGGCATTTAAAACATGGTTTTCTAAAACGAGAACTTGAAAATGCCACCGGCCCAGCAGGACACTTCATCGTAATCCACATTTGAACTGTTTACGTGGATTCCGTTTGCGCAATACTGAGCTAGCGGCGGTAGAGATCATATTTCGCGGTGTCGGGGAGTGGAGAAGTATGCCCCCTGCAGAACAAATTGCAGTTTATAAAAGATGCTTTCTACGCACGAAAGGAAAGGAAGCCACCACCCCCGCAGAAAACGCAGATGGGCGTGACGCCATTCCAGAATGGTTGCATGGTATGGCCGACAGAATACCTGTGTCAAAAAACGTATATATACATACTAGAATCATTAGTGGTTATGTCCAATATACATTTGTAGCTGAGTGGGTTCAATATATTTTGCTTTCCATTTAAATGAGACATTTTTACTCAAGAATTAAAAATTAAATTGTTATAAAATTAATTTTGTGCACTCACAGGTTGAATGTCAAATATCGGGCAAAGTTGCCATATATGAAATTTCCCATAACCTGTGAATACAATAATTGAAATAAAGCTCGTAAACGGTATGAAACATTGCCGACGTGGCAAAAATACTGGGAAAAATCAGCCACAAATGTAAATAGTATGGAGTAGTGAAAGAGTAGGTTTTGAAACCCTCAAAAGTGGTATACTCGCTACAGGCCGCGTGAAGATTCTAACCACTTTTCCCCTCACACTTACGTATACATCTGATGATGTCATATAAATTATGTATA